CAGCCATAGCCTGAGCCATAGCCACAGCCATAGCGGGAGCCATAGCCACAGCCGTAGCTGCCATAGGAGTTTCCAAAGTAGTTGCAACACATGGTGTCAGGAGGTGAAGTTTCAGTTAACTCTAGGAAGATAGTTCTGAGGTGGAGTATCAACTACTCTTGTAGGACACTTATATACTTCCAGGAATAGGTGTGTCCTACATCACATGGGCTCTGTTCTCATTTGACAACTATTTGCTAAAGTGAACTCATTCTCTGTACAGGAATCTTGTCAGGATGTCATATTATTTACTGGAATACTTGGAATTTTCTAATGGTTATTTCAAACAAGCTGCTAAACACCCAAGCTTATATAACAATAATTTTACTTCCACATTTTTTTTCTTAGCTATGGTGTAACAACAAATAGGTTTGGCGTATATATGTGTGTGTTTACTGTTTTGTTCTTTGATTTCCTTATAATGCATCTATCAATATTGAGCACAAGGTTCTACTGATTGCTATTAATATCTTCCCCTTCCACATCATCAATATAGCCTTCATTAACAACTGTAAAGGAGTTTGCATAGCTAAGACAAGGAATTGTATACTTTACCAGGCTACATTTAGTCCCTGAAATAACCTCTTTTCAAATTAAGCTAGTCTATATTACCCTTTTCTATCAGTTTATGACATCTTATCATCTTTAGTGCAATATTACTAGTGAACACTGAATAAGTGTAATCAATGACATACTATAGCAATAAATTAAAATTTTCTAGTATTTCAAATTTGAGAGAAAAAAAATGCCTTTTTTTAAGAATGGCTGTGTTCATGTCCAAGTTTTCAAAGCAAGTGTCCTTATAAGGTTTCTCACATATGTAGTTATGATATCTATTAAAATATTATCAATCAAAAATAGTATGTGCACATTTGTAATATTTTATTCTCACTGATTATCAAACAAAAGCATTCAAATAACAGCATTTAACCATATTACTTTTGCTGGATACTTTACAATCATGAGATTATAGTTTACTGTTCAATGGTATTTATTATTTGTCCCTACATTTATTTTGCAAATTTTAAAAACTACTTTTAATGTTGCCCATTGCTTTATAGCACTGTAACTGATTTAGAATAAGGTGAACACCTCTACAAACTTAAGCTACTCTATCATACCTACCACCAAAGTCCCAGTAATTTGCAATATGTAGCTTTTATTCTCCTATCTTCCAATTCTGCAACCAGATTTCTCATTTGCTTCATTGCTTATTTTTCCCTTTTCTCTGCTTTGTTTATATATTATACACCACATATGAGAAAATGTCCCGTATTTGTCTTTCCTACTTATTTTGCTTATTTTACAATTAAGTAAGTGTTAACATTTTAATACAAGAAAAACATCAGGCTAAGTGAATATAGGTATTTGAAAACTTATTATTTGGGAAACTGCTTCAGTTTGGATACAAGAAAGAGGAAATGTAAAAAAAAAGAGAGAGAGATAGTAACTTCTAATGTGACAGAATCTGTGCTTCACTCTGTGTAGTTCCTGCATGATTCCTACAGACTCCAAGATATTTTTAATGCACTTAATCTGATTTAACAGTTGCAGAAACTCAAGTTTATAAACTTGGGAACATTTTCCCTAGTCAAATAATTAGTTAATGGTGCCGACAAACGTGATCATGAAAATCTGTTTCTCCTACAAAGCCAGTGAAACTGGGAAAGGAATGTTCTGAACCTACTGCCTCTCGTCTTCCTAACGCTATCAACGTATGCTCTGTGAGGAGTGATGGGCTCCTTCATGAGTTTGCACTTTAATCTCATCATGGGATAAGCTTTCCTGTATTGAGTGTTGCAGGGGAGAAACTGCAGGGGGAGCAGTCCTGCCTGTTATTTTGTCTGCTCCCTGCGGGAAAGTAGTTTAGCACATTCTGACTCTTAGTGATGTGTCATCGGTGATGTTGAAGTCTCAAGAATATTGTTTGTCCACCTCTGTTGAAAAGAGCACCTTGAAGTTTTCTCACCCGTGAGTATCATAGCCCAGAAAGCTACCCAGACCCTTAGATTCCCTCACAGGCTTTCCTCCTGCAAAGAGCTGCCTGTGCCCCTGAGATTCCCACATCCTTTATCTCTACCCTCTGTATTACAGAGGGTGTCACCCTGGGTTACAGGATACAAAACATTCTAGCCTACCAGGGAGTTAAGTTTTGGCTCTTGAGGAGGTCGGAAATGCCCCTTCCATGTTTTGCCTCTCTTGAGTATTGTTCCACAACCTGACAAGCATATAGCATTTTCACACCCTATAATCAACTTTTAATTATAGTTTAAAGTTTAATTTTAATAGCAAATGTTCCCTTTTAACCTAATGTGAGATTCCTACAGACTGACTGGGACACAGACTGAGGCTGAGAGCTTGAATATTATGAGGCATCTGTGTATGTATGGCAGTTAAACTCAATGATAGATAAGATTTACTACTGTGTAAATGAAATGGAAAAAAATGAAAATAATCAATAAGAGTATCATACTTCAATCATAGGAGTATTAATACTTAATGAAAAGCAAAGTAAGATTTGTCAATAGAAAATACATCATGGATCAGTTTGTTCATTTTGGAAAATAGAAGAAAACAAGCTAAAAAAAGGTAGGTCAGCCTCAAAATACTACCAACAGATTTGCCATACGATCCAGCAATTCTGGTCCTACGTAACTACCTGAAAGGTACAAAGACACTAATTTGAAGGGTATGTCCATGCCTATGTTCACTGTGGCACTATTTACGTTAGTCATATTATGGAAAGGACCCAAGAGCCCAAGTACCGATGAGTGGATAAAGGGGTGGTATAGCTAATCAATGGCTACTACTCAGCTATAAAGGATGATGAAATCCATGCATGTACAGCAACGTGGCTAGAACTGATTGGGTGATAGTATATCATGCTCTTTGTAGGAGAGTATTAGTTTAGATTTGGGACCACAACTATTAAAATAACTTGACTAATAACTTTGACTGCCAATTATTATTGATTCACTCATTGCTGCCTCATATAGAAACTCTGCACCAATCTATGTTATACATCTTATGAATACAAATAACATTTTTTTTCCACTAAGGAACATTAATTTACAGCACTACAAGGCTAAGCAAGTATGGTTGATAGTGCCTCTCACCTTCCCACTTTTATTCCAGAATGTTCTGTTGCTTCTACTATTTGGTTGGTGTCAATATTTTCTCACCTCAGCTGCCATGCAAATATGATCTCCATGTCTCCTAAATCAACCACGTGTCTTATTACATAACTAAAGAACAGTGAAGCAACCTGTTACAAATTTCCAAATTAATAAAAATAACAGTTCAGAAATTATTTTCCCACAGTCTTCGGTGATGTAAGTACATTCAACTAGGATCTCACTGCCACTATTGCAACTCTTCACCAGGATATCAGCAAAATACCCTTGTCATGACTTGTGTAGTATGATGTAGCAAATATGATATGACTACTGCATGAATAGAATTAATGTTAAAAGTTCAACGTTTATTAAAATTAACATTTTTCCATCTCACATTTAATGGGCCAAACCTTAAATATTTACCACTTGCCACGAGTCCATGTGCAGAAACAAAAATAGTCCCAGCTATGTATTTTCAACTCATAGTCCCTTTTCACATCAACCTCCAGAGGTCTCAGTTTGTGCCCAAGCAATAATTTTCTAGATTTGGGTGAGAATAGAAGGATCTATTCATCTACAATGAATGGATTCATTGTACCTCTCTCCCTGAAATTATAAATTTACTCTAAAATACCCTTAGTAGATGATGATCCTGACAGGGTACAGAGACATCTGATGGAAGAGCACCCAGTGCAGAAGACACTTCTTTTAAGTTGTGTTCAGATGTCACTCTGTTCCTTTGTTTTGTTTAACTATATTACAAATACGATTCAGATCATTTGATAGTAGTCTTTCCCTTTCTGACTTGTTTCACTTGACACAATCACCACCAGTTCTATTCATATTGATACAGAAGGAAAATTTTCATATTTATAACCACTAACTGCCATTCAAAGATGCATATGTGTTACATTTTCTTAACAAACTATCAGATGTTGGGTACATAGGTTGTTTTCCAAACTTGGCTGATTTAAATCGTGCTGCAATGAACCTAAGTATGTAGTTGAACTTCCCTATTTGTTTTTCCTTGGCTTTTACACGACTCTTCTAACCAACTGTTTCACCATTACAATTCCCCAAACCGATTACCTGGAGACATTTTTCTGTGTTTGTGTTTCCCTCGTTGATGAGTGTGTACTTAGAGAAAGAAATACATATACCCAGATAAAAAAAAATGCAAAAGTTTAGAAATAAAGGTTCCCTTTCAATGAATTAAGAACTCTAGACTCAACCAGTGACAACCCATTTATTCAGGATGACATATTCATGTCAAATACCCTTCAGTAAGTCAAGGGTGAAAAGCAATGAGAATGGAAACAAGACACACATGGGATGACACTGAGATTAGCTCTAGCCATCTCCCAGAAGGTTCACAGAGAAAGAAGACAAAATGTACGTAAATGGTCATGTCTAACACAACAGACATACAAAATTGCTAGGAGCAAAGAATCGGGTTTATTTGGAAATGATCACAATATAGAAATATGCGTACTTCAGAAATTAGAGGGTAAAACTTGGTCTGTGACTTAAACTATGTATTCTGCTATCTGAGAAGATCCTATAGTAACTTAGATTTCCTCAGCATCAAGATGAACTGCCAAGAAAAGAGTGAATCTTCTTCAGGTCCTGAATATTCTCTCTTCAGGGGATTCAGTAGTGATCATGAGTCAGTGAAGAAGAAATGCCTTGGAGTGATCATTTTGGAAGAAATTCTGCATTATGGTGATGTTTAGCAGCAAGAAGAATAGCATTTTCTGTAGACAACTGGCCGG